GTCCTTTGCTCCTAGTAGCGATGCCAGGAGCCCCTAGTAGCGTCCTTAGTTCCTGAGCCCCTAGTAGCTTCTTGCTCCCAGTAGTAAGGCCAGGAGCCCCTCCCCTAGTAGCGTCCTTTGCTCCTACTAGTAAGGCCAGGATCCTTTGCTCCTAGCGATGCCAGGAAGTAGCGTCCTTGCTCCTTTTTCATTCTCCGGCGCAAGGTCATACCCCTTGTTAGCTTGCGTCAAAAAATGGCGCCGAAGAGAAAGGAGTACTAATATGCCTGAGTTAAGTGGACAACCACCAGAGGAAGAGAGCTACCACCAAGCAACTCCTGCCCACGCAGCAGCGTTTGCAAGGACCTGACAAAATTGAAACTGAACATATTCCAAGCTACTATCTCACAACCACATCTGAGCTCCAGACGCTTGCGAAGACTTCCGCCTGAACACGGCAGGTGGCTCCGGGGGCACAACCTGAGTCGCGTCTAATGCGCACCTAGGATTAAGCAACCACCTCCTATTAATCGATCCCAGCTCGACCCCTCCAATACTAAACCAATTTAAAAACCTGAATTCCACATGGACATCACCCTAATATGTGTTGGTCTCTACCAGAAACCTCCCCCTATTAATCAATCCCAGGTCCCCCAGAAAAAGAAGTATAATTGGTTTTTGTTTTTGTTTATTATTTACTTTCTTTTTGGCTAGTATCCAATATCCTTTGGCCCCTAAAAACCTCTCTAGCAAAACTCTTTCATGTTTCTTATAAAAACTCGCTCACAAAGGGTACTCCTCTCACAGGATGCAGTGTTCACACAGAATCATATCAACCATCATCCATCACCAGGTCATCACCTCTATCAAGGGGATGTGGTCCTCCAATACCTCCAATCTCAGACCTTGTTGACCTTGGAGTCACAGGCGTTGGCTTGGGAGCTGCTTCATATCATCAGCCATGTCAACACTCACCCACACAAGCTGACAAACTGACCACTTAAGACCAAAAAAGCTTGGCAAACAATGACTAGTCCTACGTGTCCAGGAGCATGGAAATTTCCCGCATACTTGCCACCGATTTCCCAGCAAATTCCCGTGTCCAGAGGTGTGAGGGAGGAGT